CCCGTCAGCCCAGCCCAACAGCCCAGCAGCCGCTAGACGTCGCTGTGGAAAGTTTCCATAGGTATTCATATCTATGCATGGGTGTGCTGGTAAGGTAATTAGAAAATTTTATGCGATTACTTGCTTGTTTAACATTTTGGGCAGCATCCTTCCATCCGTTCACACACACACAGAGAGAGAGGGAGATGGAGAGAGAGAAGCGTGCGCGCCATGTGGAAAAAGGAACAACATGCAACTACGCTAATGATGCGAAGTAAAGTACAAAAGCGGCTTTTAGAATATTAATGGAATACTAAATACATATAACGTGTAAAGTGGCATACTCACACACATTCACACACTCGCGCACACATACACATCTAAATAGGTGTTCGAGGGGTGGTAAAAAACTTGGACGAGCGACAACTTCAGCTAATTATCATTATCCATCTCGTCAAATAATACATTTTCAAGAAAATTATTTGTAAATTTTGCAAATCTATAAATTTCCTTCTGTTCCCGCCCAAAAAGCGAACTTTCGAACTCCAAGTAGAAAAAAAAAACCATTTGATGAGAAAATTTTAAAACCGATACCTTTTAGTCCGGTAGTCTTTGCCTGGTTTGTACCTACTTATTTATAGTATCATTATTGAAAATCATTTGAAAAATGAGAACATAAAATAGAGTTTGATAATCAAATTATTTCTTATGCAACGTAAATGTAAGCGCATTAAAAGCTTTGCCAATTTCAATTAATGTTTTTGTTACACATTTGTGGCATCTCCATAAATATACATTCATTAGAAATCATTTTATTAGATCACGAATGGGGGCAAACCGAATGCAAAATATGCCAATGCTAAAAATTGCTAGTTTGAGCTTTTTTTCTCTTTCAATGTCGTGAATGGAGATTTGAATGCCCTGCGCACACAGCCCAAGTAGGTATATTGGCTTGCTAGACGTTGTGTCCAATGCTAATGAAATCAATAGATTTCAACTGAAAGTACATACCTATGACATGGCTTGGACCCAGTTATTGTACTGTATTTAGCGTCAACCCAACCTCAACATAGCAGTAAAGTAAGTATGAATTGCAGATACCTATTACAAATCGCAGAAAGTGGAAGCAGAGTATTGTGCTGTGCGTGCACACGTTACGGCTGCAAGCGGCTTCGCTCACAGAGCTTTTGCCTGCTCACTGACTCAAAGAGTGGCAGTCGTGCGAAATTAGCTCGAAAAGTAACTCAATTGTCGCTCAAACTGTCTAAAACGAACTAGTCGCCGAGCGAGTGTCGTGCGCCTTCGGATCCTCGTCGGCGACACCCACAATTGAGCCCGGCGTGTCGGCGCTCGGCGCTGGCTTCGCTTAGACGCACCCACAAAAGCAATTCAAATGGCATTGAATTCAATTGAAGTGGTGCTAGAAGGCGTTAACCAACGAAACACTCGGCTTGAGTCGTCGTCGCTACCGCCGCCGTCACTTTGAGTGTAAAAAGTGCGCAAAATCCTTGTCGTCGAATAAAAAAACTGTTCGTTCAGCCAATTGCAAGCGCCAGTAGAAAATATGATGCTTTCTTTGTTGTTCGTTTTTTTCTAATTTATATATATACTTTATTTATTTGTTCATTATTATTCATTTATCATTAAATATATATATATATATATATATATATATATATATATATATATATATATATATATGTAAATTTATATTGCTGATATGGCTTCCATATGTATATATATATATATATAAACTTATCGTGCAAAAAAAAAACGACACCTAGTTGACTAACAAAGAATATTATAATTATACTCGTAAGTTCCCATTTAAAAGCATTTTTGTTTAAAATGTTTCCACATACTCTTCCTATGGGGCATACACAGAAATGCATATGTATGTGTATGTATATTTAACGGCAATATTTTAACATCCTATTCATATTGATATTCCTACATATGTATAATAGCTCTTATAGTTCATTGAATGATACTTCATTGTCTTCGTATTGTGATTAATATTAGAGTTTTGTTACCTATTGTTAGCATACATATAACAACATTTGCTACAAACGTTTTCCATTTATATATCATATTCATTCTGACCTATGTACATAAGCTTTCTCACGATTACATTTATGGTACATATAGAGTACATTAGTTGTATGTGTAGGAAAATGTGTATTGAGATACAGTCATTTGTCTTTGGACGATCCCGATATATGGAAAATAATTTCTGTTCACTCAAGCTCAAACTTCGATTGTTATCAAGAAATGAATAGATCTGGGCTTTGCCTGGGCCCATCGAAATGATTCTACGTGGAAATCAAGCAGAAAGTGAAATCTAGTTCTGGTCCTATTTGTCAAAAAGAGGCACCGTCTTAAGTGTGATTGGGCTGATGGTGGTGGCTTCTGCACCGGATAGAATTGCCATTCCTATGTGCTGGTAGGTTAGATCTCGCACTTATAGATTATTCTTAGCTAAATATATATAGTATTACTTATTTATAGATTTCGTATGTGGATACTTTAACCGCATGTACACAACGTGCAAGTGCAAGAAGCTCTCGATTTTGTTTTCGTGTTCAGTATTCATTCATATGTTTATATTTGTATATATGCCTGTATATATGTATTTATGTATTTATGTATATATGTAGAACGGCTAGATGGGGACTTAGTTTGGCTAGTAAAAATATCTGTATCGTAAGCTTCATGCACCCCTACATATGCAATTGAAAACGTATTGTATTAGTTGATTCACGTTACTATATAGGCAGACATCAATAGATATTACAATTACAATTACTATTCGGACCCCCGATCAGTGTTGTAGGTATTATAGGTATTTAACAGAAACAACAACGGTACATCGACTTCTATGAGTACTACACTTCATGTATGTATATGGCATGTGTCCTATTTATCAATGTTCTCACATACATACATATATGTATATGTGTATATATATCTGAGTAGAGTTGCGGATAATTACGTCTTGAAACATAGTAACATGCTTGTATATGCAACATATAATGATATCGATCTTAATATACTCGTATATATATATGCTTTTGAGTTATGTAGCTGTAGGCCTTTCAGAAAGTATTTAATACAAGCTGTGTGCAATGATTTATTTGCATCGTTGTTTAAGTAAAATATATCAATATGTATATTTGTAATTTGTTGCAAATGATTTTTGAATTCTTCGCTTCCAGCTTGTAAGTTACCTTACCTTTACACTGAGTATATATGTGTTTGTGTGTTATTTATACAAACACACAGACACAAGTATATAAATATATATATATATATATATATATATAGTGGTATATATATATATATATATATATATATGCATATATATATATATATATATATATATAGATATATTCATTACTATTCGTATGTACAGGAGAATGTGATATGAACACCATTTATGATGCGCTATGCTCTACATATAATCTATAATTACGTTCGCATATCCATATGCTCATGGCTATATAAAATAATTTTGCTTATAGATGCACACACACAAACGTGGCGGTGTGGCTGTTTCAGTGGTATAATTCTTAGCTGCGGGAACACCCATTCCTCCAGATCAACTTATCATCTGCAGACCGTTGAGTCGTCGCCTGCGCATATCGAATGGGGCGAGGCGAGGAACAGTTTGCCGTTGAAGCAGGCACATAGCTGGAAGACTCGATGCATGTGATCTCGATTCTGAGCCGATCCCATTATCGGAGGCTGGGCAGTGCGCAAGTTGGGCATAATTATCTTGGAGGACTCCAATCGCAGCTGCATAGTTGGCAAAGGGAACAGGAGAATGGGATATCCAAGCATTAGCTTAACCAAAATCGGCTATTCCACTACAGCGTGAATATAACATGGCTAAAATGTATATATTTATACTCACGCTGCCATCAAGTGCACGCAGCTTCACATCCTCCAGGGCTATTAGTTCGATTCCTCCGGCTCGTGACTGTAAGTTGATATCTTTGGCGGCTGTGATCTCTAATTGACGTGTGGGCGACTCTAGTCTGCAATAAACTCAGCGAATTGAAATATTACATGCCAGCGGGCTGTGCTTATGCGATTTAATATTAGCGCGATTCAGCCTAATTAATTAACTAATTTACCAACTAAACGAGGTAGAAATGTAGGTGTCTCTTGTTGTAGTCTTCCTTGGATCTGACCGGAAGCAGAGGTAGAATGATGTGTAAATTGAATTCTCACACTAAGCAAATTGTTGCTATTTTAATTTAACTGTTTTGATAATATCATCTTATTGTCAAATGCTGTAAGTGCGTCAGGAAACTCCGACGAAAAAGTCGAAGAAGAACGAAAGAGCCCAACGGCCATCAGCAAATTTGTCAATGTAAACGTTATTACATGCATCGCACGGCTGTTAATGGTCCGTACACACATTTATAACCTCAAAGCCCGGCCTCACACTCGCGAACGGCTACCCACCCACACAAACGCACGAGTTATCATCACAATATTCCAATATAGACTCAACGATTCCCTGGTAATGGCTATATAAAAAAAAAAACAAAAAAAAAAAAAAACAAAAAATGAAATAATCAATGCCCTGGAGCGCTTTTCAATTCTGTCGTCCTCGTCGTCGCCAGCAATGCCGATGTCGATTTCAATGACGATGGCGATCCCCCCACATCGCTCATCACATTTCTGCATATGTGTATGAGTGTATGATTGTGTGTGCATGTGTGCATGTGTGCATGTCTGCATGCATGCATGTGTGGACGGCCGTGTGTAAATATTTTCGCTCTTCAACAAGCTACATGCCAACACCTCACGAGTGTCAGCGTTTTGTGTTTTGCCTGTTGTTGGTGACGTTGTCGTTGCCGCCGCAAAGGTGATGGCGGCGTTCACATACACAGTTGAGCATTAAGAGCATGGGCGGGTGTTTTTTGTTTGTTTTTAATTTTTTATTTCTCAGATTTTCCCGTGCCCGATTAATGTGTTTGGTGTGCACACATACACACCCGCACATTTATATATATATATATATATATAGAAATATATACATATGCGCATACGTATGTGAGATATGTGTGTTATGGATTCTACGAAATTTATTACTGTTGTTGAATTTCAGCACTCTGTGGAATTTTGCTGTGGCATTCCGGCAGATCTCTGTGCCGTGGCATTGTTTTCAACCGTGCTTGGCATAATGACTTCGTCACGTTATGTGTACCGCAATGTGATTGCTTCCCTTCATTCATTTAAGTAAGTGCCGCAGATTTGGCCTGATCATATATATACCTGCATATCTCCTTAAGCCACTTGGCTGTGCGTCATATGTCCTAGAGCCAAGAACTCGTCTATGCACATATGCGAGGGTATTTAGTCTTCCGTACGTGGAATTGAACTGTATTCTTTTACGGCTTTTCATTCAGTTTTATTGGCAATCATAATGGGCTACCTTCAATTGATTAAATTACTCTGACAAATTTTAAGTCAAACGTACATATTTACGTATTTATTACAGACTATGGTTATTGCATTTCATTCAATAAAATTGTATAAATTATAATTGTATCAATTATGATCATGCTCTGACTTGTAAAGCTGCCTTTGCGAAAAACCCCAAACATTTATATGTGCAAATATGTGTATGCAGCTGTGTTCATGAAAATAGTACTGAGCGACTGAACAATAAAGCTCATCTTAACTTATTTTGTTATTAATTTCAAAGTTATTTTATTACAAAAAATTGAGAATAAAATTAACAGCATTTTTTTTGTCATAAATAAAAAAAAAACATTTAAGCTTCTCTTTTTTGCAGAGAAATGACACTTGAAAAAATTGTAATCAGTAACATATTATACACAGTAACATAATTAATAACAATTTTTGTGCATAAGTTTTAGATTTAATTTACTATTGTTATTTATTTATTCAACTTATTACGTCTAGCCCTACTCTTTCTATGAACGGCCGATCTTTAATTCATCTAAAATGATCACAAACATGAGCTCAGAAAATGTATCGACTCTTTTTTGCAATTCTTTTCTTTCCATTGTATTCTAAGCTGAAAATGCGCATCTTTTAAATTCTCAACGGAAAAGTACCTTTTTATTGGATTGATATTTTTTAGTGCAGCACTACTATTTTTAGGAACACAACTGTATATATATATGAAGTATAGATATATGTGTATGTAGAACAGCAGTGTTGCTGTTCCATTTGTTGATCAATAATGTGTGTCTGGAATGGGGATATGTCTTTTTGACAACTGCACAGTGCACTGTCGGATTTAGGTATCGCACACTTACCTGAGCTCCCGGCCTGGCTCGGCACGAATATGCGGTGTTTGTATGGACTCCCGGAAGATGGCGCCACCCTCTCCCTCGATGCGAAGCGAATGCGCTCCGATAGTGACTTGATTTCGATTTACCGAAAATAAATTTCGTCCAGTGGTATCGTTGATGCGAAATCCCGCTGACAGACATTCAAACTTATCGTGCCCCAAGAATAAATGATTCTCGAGCACACCGTTCGGGTCACGTGTATTGATTGAAAAATTACGTGAGGATTCTGTTGATGACGGCACCAGCGATGAACGAAAGAGATACAATTTATAAAAACTTTAGACAGGCGAAAGAATGCAAATTTTGAATTATTTCTTCCTATTTAAATGATATTTTAATAGACTTCATCTCAGTCAAGGCCCACTCAGCGACAATCAAACCAAGGCAAATCAACACTTATATGCATGGCGCATATACCCATCTACATGTGTATGAGTCACATGCGCATGTTAGACGTGCGTATTGCTTGGCATGCTTAGGAAACCCTAAGCAGACACCCAAAGAAAATTCCCATTTAATGCGACTCTTTCCCTCTTTCTATGCCGTTTATTGCTGCAAAACGGGGTCTTCAACAGAGACACGCAGTGCACAAGATTTTTCGCTCATCTGTCTCCTTTGGCTGCGCTACGGATATCGCATTTGCGGATTATCTGTCATTGTATATCGCTTGATTGTCCTAGACCGCACCGGTAAGAGCTGCGATCCCATTTGATAAGATACAACCACCGCTTGTCCGTTCGCGCTTTACAGGATGTCAGCGGTAACATATGCAGCGACAAGTGAATGTATGGGAAGGTATGAACTTTGCCGTCTGCCTATCAGCGAATCTACTGATTTATGGCCCGAGTGACAACGGCACACATTTGTCGTGGACAGGCTCGACTTGGAAGCAGTTAGCTTTAGCCTGGCCAAATCGGATTCAAAGTGTTTCGTGGCTTTGACTTCTGACTAATTGTGTAGTCAGAAAAAAGGACAAAAAGTACAGTCGGTAGGTGAAGTTGCTCGCTGATATATATTCTTTTGCTTCAACATTAAGTATTCATGCGAAACACTTACCAATGGATATCGGCTGTCCGTGCCTAGAGCGTATTGTGGATGCCCGCAGCATGTCCATAATGACCGTCTGGCCTGTGAGTTGGATGCCACCGGGAACGATTTTGAGTTGACCCATGCCGTCCTGGAATAGCGAGGTATATACATTGAAGAAGCTAGTGGTCAGTAGATTGCAAGTGGACTGCGACTGTACGTACCGTTGAAAACTCCATCACCTTGAGTATCCACAGGGTCAGCACCAGGTTAGTGATAATCAGAACCGTTAGCAGTAACAGCAATGTGTATAGGCACTTTTTACGCCAGCCGATGAGTCCGAGATACATCTCGATTCCGTCGACGAAGCCACCCACATTCTCGTGCTTAGCCCCAGCAGATGAGCCAGCCTTGCCGCCGCCTGCCACGATGGTGCGATTCCCCCTCTCCACACCTGGCCGCGTTGTCATTATTGTGGCCGTCTTAGCGGAGGAGCAGGCAGTGATGGCACTGCGAGGGCCTCCTTCATTGCCACCGACATTGCTGCGTGTCAAAATGCCCGCTTGCCCGGCTTTGCTCTTTCGCATTTGCTTGGGCGTTGCTCTAACGGCCTGCTCCCGCTGTCCTGTTCCCGCTGGCATTGACATTGTAGTTGCTCTGCAAACTCCGGCATCCACAGCGCTGCCACCGGCCAGCATCGCAATCAATTGATTTTCCTGCTTCAGTCTTGGTCGCGGTGCCTTTTCTCCTGCCTTTTTATTACTTTAGCGATCCGCTTTGTTTCTGTGTGCGCTCTGCGCCGTCCATATCAAAAGCATAGCCGTCGCATTAACCAAAGCTAATCAATTCGTGTATTAAAAAATCAATAGGCCCGTAAACCTGCAAATGAAATCACTCATCAATTTCAATTGTAGTGAGAAGAATATATTTCAATTCAGCAATTTGCAAAAGATAATCAGCGTCCAAGTTCACTTATATATATTTTCTGATGCATCTAAATAAATAGCTATTTATTTGTTTGGGTCACAAGTGTCTTATGTAACTCTCAGTTCGCATTCATCTCTAACAGCTGTAAGACTGAAATGCTCCAGGGCTATGAATGCATTCATGTATTCCGGATGTAACGAGTATGTAAACTAAGAGTGCCGCTGCCAAAAGAGCAAAGAGATATTACATTACACATTACAAGTTTTGATTCAATTCTTGATATTGCCCCGTTGATATGGCTTTGCTGACATCAGTTGTTGGCTTCACACGTGCAATTCTTAAATTATGCATAGCTGTATATCAGAGTATTCACTTTTGCATTCATATGAAGAGAATGTGTATCAGTGGGTCTCGAATATGCAGAGCGAGAGATGAGCTGTGAGAGATGAGAGCTACAGTCGGATATACATAAATACATAATCTGATGCATTCACTTGCATGAACTGCTGCCGACGCTGTCGCCGCCGACAGCCTGGCAAGGTACAAATTTTATGCATTCATTAAATTTTCCGTTAAAAGAAATAAAAAGCGTGTCGGTGTGTCAAATTTACTATTTGCTACTCTGTTCACAATCTGATCTTCAACTGTTCATTTGAAATCGTACCCAGAGAGTTTCGTAGAGCTCCATGGACATACTACAACTGCGAGGTTTCTTTGCATTTGTATTGGAGGTCTCTGGGTGCGACCTGGGAACTAATATACTCGTTTCACCTTGTGGGTTGTGTGTTTTAAATAAACTAAAAATATGAGTTCCCACATTTCGTAAATATAGCCATCGAGTATTACGAAGTAAAATATACACGAGAAAAATATATATTTATAAACTAAACTATCGACTTGGGTTGACTTTCCACTTGCACTGGGCTATATACTTTCAGAGAAGAGCACCCAGTTGAGTCGATTAAAAATAAACCAGAAGTTGAAATGATCTAAATATAGAAATATGTGTATTTGATTTTCTTTTCATGTGGATTTTCATGGCCAAAGTGAGAACAGCGTGAGTAATGAAACACATTTCTGTTGCGCTCAATAAAAATATAGTATTAAATGTGTAGAGATATTTCCTGAGCTATTGAGAGCGGTTTTCTTTTTTATTCCGTAAGTATCTTGCGTTTTCAGCGTGATTTATGGTGTTGCTTTGGAAATACTAATAGATTATCATGAATGTATCTTCAATTCATGTATCTTAATGACTCAGCTGCAGGAAAGTATCATCATATAGCTGTAAGTTCAGCTCTAGCAACGTATTGGCCCTGATAGATGATTTCGTAATTAACGTTGGCCGACCTCAGCTTTTGGCTGTTCTCGCTGTTTTAGCTCACGAGACGTCTGTTTACGCAGTGCCACTTAACAGTTAGGAAATTGTTTATAGATTCCCAAAGTAAATAGAATAATAAACGCCAAATGTTGTGGGCGCATTAATGGCAATAGTCAATTGGCTTTGAAGATTTTTCCAGGCCGCAACGAGCTATTTTTGGGCATTGCATAAGTTCATATTGACGAGCAAACTGCTGGAAATATTTAATTGCAGTACTTAAGTACTTAAGAGCCTAATAACTTTACCAATGTGTCAAATCAAATTAAAGCAAAGGAAATCAATATTAATAAAATTCGCAACAAGGAATCTATCAAATTAAAATATTTGTGGCTTGGGAACAGTCGCTGACCCTGACTGACCGCAGACTAGACGGAAAAAACGAATTAATGAGTTCATGGAATGCAATTAACTCGTATGCCTTTTGAAAAGGATTAACTAATTCCCATTGTGATTAAATGGCATTGGCTGCTTCGTCACTTTTCCCAGCTCAGACGTTGTTCTACCTTCGATACATTCAGCTATCAATCAATCAAGATCTCGATGCAAACAACTTTTTCGAGACAACTCAATGTGAATGTGATCACTTTCACTTACTGAATTTTGTTTGGATAAACAATAAATTTGACTTGGTGTGTGCTTTGCCAGAGTGAGTTCAGTTTGTGTCACAGGCGACACTAGAAGTTGCAGCGGCAGGAAAAGCAACGAAAGAGTCAGCAACTTGGACTTGGCATTGCAGACTTTCTGTCTGTCCGCTGGTCGAGGATAATGTGAGGTCTGCAAGGGGCTTGGCACAAAACGTTTTCATTACGCTCGTACATACATACATTTAGCCATAATCTCGAAAAAGAACTCGGACAAGCAGTCGCACTGACGGCCTTAATGGCGGCCGGGGAACGTGCTCTGTAAGCGGTAACTGGGACCCGAATGCAAATACCCAGCGAGTTGATTTAGTATCTGTAGACAGCCGGTTATTACACGCACTCGAATGGCGAGCAAAAGGTTTCCTGGCCGGAAATAAGGGACAGGGCAACTGTTAGTTGCAGTGGCTGCAAAAGCGACGGTTTCTGGCACGTACGTCCAGCTTTAGTTAAGTTACAGTTATATGTTATGTATGTGTGTCTGTCTGTAGTATATATGTAGTTGCCGCTTAGTTAATGTTGCATGTTTTCGTCTTTGTTGTTGTTGTCACACGTTTTTATTGCCCCAAATGCAGCATATGCTCCAAATTATTTGGCTGCAGTCGAAAGCAGTGGTAGGTGCTGTTATCGTCAGCCCAAGAGCAAATCACAGTGAACTAACGACTCTATATCATCTATATCATATATAAGATCTCAATTTCAACCTTTTGCTGCTATCAAAAATGTCTATGATGAGTGAATCACTTCCTTTATTCTGATAGAAGTTGGTGTTATTACCATAGCCAATAATATTTATATAAGGATATCTTATTCATGTCTGTGCTTATCCCTATATGAAATGAAGAATCCTTAAGGATGTTGGATAAAGATAAAGTTACTTTTATGATATTCAAATGTCTTTTCCCATCTGTTGGTTTTCATGTGGTATGTATAGGTAGGCTTGACTGTAATAGGCAGTTCGCATGTGCGAATGTGCTTGTGTACACACACATTCAGAAGCGGAAACTTGTATAAAGTTGTTCAGAAGTCCTTGACAATGGGCAATTTGAAGCGAAGTGGGCTTATTGCAAGCAATAACTAGAGGGAAAGCCGGCTTAGAGGGGCCAGTGGACGACCAGGAAGACTAGACACTTGACCATTTATTCTTAAATAAAAATAATAGCATTTTCCTGCCATTAAGTTATCAACAACTGCAAACATACATGTTGGCCCCAGTTGATGGGGTCGGGCACGTATTTGCGTACTTGTGGCGATGTCTATTTCGTCCCTATGTAGCGTCGCAGTTAGGCAGTCAACCTCGCCTCATATCAATGCTAGTTTCGTCTTTTTTAGTCTCCCAGTTAGTTGGCCTGTAACGAACTCAAGTCCAGTTGTTGTCGTTACTCTTACTGTCACGAAAATATTTCCATTCTTATCACGCGTAAGGGCGATAAACCCGAAATGGTTTCAGCACGCATTAAGTTTCTACTACAAAATTATTTTTTTCTCCTTGTGAATTCAATTTTTCATTTGTGTTTAACGGTCAAGAAGAATCGTAGTAAAAACTTTTTATTCTCTTTAAAGTACTTTATACCAGCTCGTAGAAATCTTCTTTAAGTAGATCGACTTCAAGCTCATTGAATAATCAATCTCTGTACTCTGAAAGACTGAAGCCCTAATCTTATATGGCACGATCAGTATCAACAGCTAAACTCTCTCTGTCTATAGGGTATTTCTTCTATCTTTTGGGTAGTTATGTTATGTGAATGTTATGTGATATTAGTGTCAGGTACATACCATTCTATTTCGCAAGATTGATCACAGAACTGTTTTCACTTTGCAATGTATTTATAATTTTTCTTTTTCTTTCCCAACAGTTATCGGTCTGAGAGTTGAATTGAATTCATGAATTTTTAATTAATATTTGTTGGATCAAAAGTTCATCCAATTCATACATAGGTATTAGGAGGAAATATACTTTGTAGATTTGAAGAATATTTGGTAAGCAACGATGAGAATTGACACTCAAATTTTAGGTATGTGAACAAAGGATCCGTTTCATACACTTATCTCAACTTCATCATTGGCAACAACAAAACAACAAAAAAAACTGTCACATAAAATGTTGAAAAAAAATTAAACGATGGCGAAGTATTGTGAATCTTGAGAAAGAAACAATTGCTCGACTACGTTTGACCTGGACCACGGCAACGGTGAACTGAAGTCGCGAACGTTTGCAAAGCAACTGACGGCACACTCACTTCTGGTCGAACATCAACACTTCCGTGGCCGCTGTGGCGGCAGCCAGTGGAAATTGGCACTGGCTGCCAGTGGCAGTCGCTGAGGCGTCGTGCCTCCGAAAGCTTTTGCCGAACGCTGTCCAAAAGTTTCACTCAAATCCGGCTCGTTCGCTGGTTCCGGTAGGTCGGGTGCTAGCGGCGAGCATCGGCTCCACTCGGTTCCACTCGGTGCCATTCGGCACGTCGCCTTCGCTGCTTTGTTTACCTTTATTGGCATTCAACACGTGGTTTTTTCAGCACTCAGAATTTGCCTTTGTTTACCTTTTGGCACCGAGAGTAGCCCGTCGTAATCAAACATATGCAATGCTAGTCGCAGTGCAATAATTAACTATTGAGCACTGCATAGATAATTTATGCCGTATTCTATAGGCGAGGTTTGTTCGATACGCAAATACTTTGGACCTTTTCGATGGCACCTTCGGAAAACAGTTCGCAGGTGCCAGATGCTCCGAATGTGAATGAGGCCTCGCTTTTCCTCTAAATGTTGTGAATTAAGTTTTCGTAAAGCAGATAAATTATTAATTGTTGTCATCTGCATGTGTGTGTTTGGGGATGCAAGAGCTTTTGGCTCGTTGGGACAATGAAGTAAAAAAGGGTTGAGTCCTGCGTGCCTTTTTGTCGGTTAGACTGTGTATCTTTGAGCGTGTCTGCAAATTAAAAGCGTTTTCATCTTTGGCCAGAGTTCATAATTTTTGCGCCTTTCATTAAGACCTCTATATAGCACGCATGGGTCGCACACACATTGGTCCTTTTAATTGTTCCTTCCAACAGCTGCTAAAGGGCATTCGGGACCCAGATGGCTGCCTGAGCCTGAACAAGCCGAGGAAGGGTTGGGTTTGGTTGGGCTGGGCTGGGCCGTGCTTGCAAGGATGGAGCAACCGGATTTGGGCCTCAAGTTATGCAGCGGAGATACTTCACTACGTTAGGTACACATACGTATACACAAAATGTTGTAAGCGCCCGCTCCGCAACTTATCTTTTACCTATTGTGAAGAAGGTCGCCCACTGTTTAGCTAGGCATAGTTGACGTAGATGTGGGCGTGGCTTATCTGCCCAGAAGCTTTGCGGAACCACATATCAACCGAAAACCCTTGTAATTGTGCCTTCCTATACCGCTTTACATTTTATTCACAAAGAGCTACACATAGAGCTCGCACCAGTCCACACAGCTGTTAATTGTCCTCCATATCCAAGGAGTCAGCTTGCGGGCACAGTTGGCGTCCTCGACTTTGTGCATTTTATGCATATATAATTTGTAATTTTAAAACTAGTTTTTCGCTATATTTTGTTCTGGTGTGTGACAGGCCACGTTTACTATGTGGAAAAATAATGAGCTTACACTCGAGTCTATCGCAATACGGCAGCCGTTTGAGTTGTGTTTCACTCTGCACCTAAACAAATAAAGCAGGAATAGAAAAAGCCTCTGCTGTTCTCTGTTCATTTTACAAGCATATGCCACATATGTATGTCGTATATATTCATATATTGTTAATTTTGCCATATCCATCTCGGTACACACAGTTTCATTAAATGTGAATTTGTTACGGAATTTGTCCTGTAGAGTGAAGTTGGTATCGATACTTAGAGGTCAATTCACCATTAGCTAAATGAGAGTTGCGTGATTGTAAATTGATTGCAATCAGAAAAACGTATTGTTAGAATGGCCATTAAACATGAATAGGATGGATGGATGGACGGATGGCTGTTCACCTTTGGAGCTCGTTAAAACACTCGGGCTTTCCTTGAAAACGCAAACGAAATCTATATGGACAACTCAATGATTGCTCGCCGCAGCTAAACTTTGTGTGCTGTCAACGCCAAACACCGAACGTCAATATATAAAGCAAGTGGAGACATTGCGAGACAGACAGCCACTCCAGTAGCCGATGAGCCATCTAGCCAGCCAGCCAGCCAGTCCATCAATTGTTTCAACGTGAGTGGGAATAGTTGTCCTTTTTTTTGCTGATGGCATCATCAGCCCATCGGCAGAAAGAGGGAACAGCAGGAACAGAAATAGCATCAACGTCGCCATCGTGCAGAGCTCTGGTCTTTTCTTCCTGTTTCTGTTCCTGGCATTGGCACTGGTAGTGGGCTGCCGAAGCGCATCAAAAACCAACCAACTAACGATCGGCAAAGCGACACGATAGTGTCGGTTCAACAGATGTGTAGAAGTGCCTTGTATTGGGCTCCACCTACAACTCCAACTCCAGCTCCAGCTCCAGCTGCAGTTCAGACGCAGACAGAGGAAGGGGCAGAGGCAGAGCCAGTGCCAGTGGCATTGGCAGAGGCCCAAACACGAGGGCAGAGAGAAATCCCATGAATAATTCCACTTCAATTCCACTTTGTATATTTCATTTTTGTGTTGCATACATCATGACAGCAGCGTCAATGACAGACGACAGCAATTGGCTTTGATAACGTTTGCTCTTTTTTATCATGGCGCGAGTCGGGTCGAAGGATGTTGTCTGGCTGCTCACTCATCGCATTCCATTCCACAACTGGGCCAATAGGCATCATGTACTTATTAATCAACAATAATTCTCGTACCTTTCCCATTTGGGTATAGTTTTTCAGCCAGGCCCGGCACTAGCCCGGCACCAGTTCGACACCAGGTCACATATTTATTTCATTTCTCTCTGTGCACTTAAATGAATTTGTGTGTCAAATTTCGCTCAATTATTCAGTTAAAATGCTGGACAAATCTACTCACCACATTTGCCCATTTGCAAATTGAATGATGGATTTATGAGCTTATAGCCTTAAGTCGTTTGGTTTTTGATCCAATTAAATAGCAGTATATTAAAAATGTTGCCATCAATAAACAAGCGCATGTTCGACAAGGCCCGCTTTACATGTGTATGTAGATGCATTTGCAATCATGGACATGGACATGGACATAGGCAGTTAGTGGAATCGGTGCATCGGCGTGGATTATTCAAATAAAAATAAAACAGAGTCCTTCCGTTTCTGACACACTGTACAAACGCATGCACGGCTGTATATGCACATATGTGTGTGTATTTAGAAGTGTGTTAAGTCAACCGTAAAGGTGCGCGATTGGCGGGCTCACAGGTGTGCAGGAAGCTCTACAAAAAAACTTGAAGAGTTTGCTTACGGCAAATTTATCAATGTGGACTAAAGACGGACGAACAGACGGACAGACAGACAGACAGACAGACAGACAGACGGGAAAACAGTAGCAGCAGCAGCAGCCCAAACACATTTACCAACACCTAGCAGTTGTATATGTATTTGTGTGTGTATGTATAAGTTTTAATTAAATTTATTTATATGGATATCGATCAAATACAAGTGAAAGACTTGCACAGCTTCGACTCTATTTGTTGTCAGCTTAAACAGTATTATTATATTAGAGAGCAGGGAATCTATAGTGAGTGATACTTTGCAAAGGTAGCCAGGAATGGAATGCAGTAACTGGTTTATGTTTACTGTGCATACCTTCACAGTCGGTAATGAAACACTCTAACAGAGAACACGTTTGGTCAGTTAGCCTATCATCAATAATTGTTGAATGTCAAATTTGTATTCTGGTCGAATTTATGATTTATTATAATTACATTATTACATATGACCCTAGTTACTTTAAACTGTTATTATATTGGCCGTTCGTCTGGTTACTGATTTTTGATTTATATAATTGATCCGCGCTTTAACTCTATTCAACTCTCAATGCAATAATTGAAAGCTCTGTATATACAAAATAAACGTTCGATTATCATTTTCCATTTCTGCCTTGAATTTGTGTCTATCTATAAAGCTCGCCTAGGGAGTCGATGGCAACATAACAATAGAGCCACAAGTTGAAACTAAGTGTGGGAGCTTGTTAAGGCTTTGAGCAACTCACGTTAAACTCTTAGTAGATATGATATTTCTGCGTAAGTCGCACTTGAATTACATATCTGTTTATTACATAGCTAGGAAGTACATAGCTAGAAAGTAACATTCGCATATTCTATTACGAGTAAATGCTGGCTAATGAGGAAAATTAATATCGCGCTATATGGGTGCCAGCTTATACATGATATACATAATATACAGTAGGGTAAATAGCAGATTTATGTACACATAAATTCCTCATCACGTTTCGCTTTCCTGCTCAGAGCACATGTAGCCAACGTAGGCAGGTAAGCACTCTTGTATTCAGTTGTCTAAGCGATTTTTGATTACACTTCCGTCGGAAATTATCATATATCCTTCAGCTTGAATAATTTCCAAGGAGAATCGCGACATAGGCTGCTTGTACAGTAACCAACCTACACAGGAGCACACCTGCTCTTATTCGCTTCTCTATGCCTCGGCAGTAATAGTCACTCTTCAAGTCTCATTGTATACCTGCAGACTCCAATGAGGCCTTGAACACAAAGGGTAAAACTCCAAGGAACGAAAGTTTTCGAACTTTCAACTGATTGACTGCAAGTTACTCAGCCTCTGCCAATTATCTTTTTGCCCATTACAATTGCAAGCTGTTGTGCTGTTTTGCCAAAATAGATATTAGCATAATATCAGGACAGATTAAGAGTGAATTCATCATTGGCCCAATATAATGTTGAGTGTATTCTCATTTGCGAAAAGTCTATCTGCTCCTTTCGCTAATTTAGTGGATGTGAGGAAACCAAGCACTTATTCAGACAGTCAAAATACATCCTCCACCCCTCGCCCATCTCTGTTCAACAATCACCGTTCACCGTTCACTCTACACTCTCCCTCTGGCCAGACAGTCGTCTGACCAAGGAGCGCAGAAACCCGACGCTAATTAAAGGCATTTGTTGTAGCATTTTCATTCAATTAATTATTTCGGCTATCAACGCTGTCAATCTTTTTATCAACAACAAATCTGGCAAGACCGTACCACAGTAGCTGGGTAATCGTATAGTCACTGAAAACTTATTTGTTTTGGCAGCTTGAGGCCAGCAGCTG